TGGCTGGAAATGTCTATTCTGATTGGTTGGTGATCCAACAAAGGCAAAGGTGAGACAACAGACGATGAATTGATCACAAAATAAATCACAATATGCGTGAGAAATGATAGATTGTATGGAGGATTTAATCATGAGCTGACATCAGTTAGGGAACCACTGGAAAACCTGGGAGTACTGGACAGCTGTTTCGTCCTAGTTTGGGACTCCTCAGCAGTACGCACCCACCACAGGGGTTCGAATCCAGGACCTTCTGGTAACAAGGTGAGGAGTCCCAAACTAGGACGAAACAGCTGTCCAGTACTCCCAGGTTTTCCAGTGGTTCTCTAACTGATGTCAGCTCATGATTAAATCCTCCATACAATCAAACCAAATCCCTACAAAACCAACACTTGAAAATGATAGATTCACATAGTTACTCCATCACAAGATAAATCACACGATTCGTGAGAAAGGATAATATACTACTTTATGCTGGGTTCCATCAGTAGTGCTCGTAAGAGGAGGAAATATATCATAGTTCAATTTTTTTATTCCTTCACGTTCCCAGTGGAACATAGGTCTTCAAGCTAGGGGCTTGAAGTTTCTGTAGAAGTGTTTATTTTTTACAGGATGGGGTCGCTAGCCTCATGCCCAATCTTTTCCTCTTTGCCATCTTTTTTTTCTGGCTTGGCGAGGTAAAGGAGTGCGTCGGTGGCCGGGGATCGAACCCCGGACCATATGCATGGCCGACGAACGTCCTAACCGCTATGCCACCGACGTATTCATAGTTCAATATTGTAGGGTTATGTAATACACGTCTAATTATAATTTTATTCTGAAAAACTGAGATGTTAATTTTTCAGATGATTTATATAATTCCTATGACATTTAACTTCCTAATGTATCGATTTATATGTTGATGAATCGATAATAAATCGTCCCCTTTTTTGAATTTTTTGCACATATCAAACTCAATTATCAGTCAATTTTCTCACTATTGAGAATTTCCAGCAGTTTCGTTGTAGTAGCTGTTCTGTATTTTTTTCTTATCACCTAAGGCCCATTGTATTCTGCCATTTGGATACCAAAAATATTGAAAGGTAATTGATAGTGAGTCTATTTTGATATATCCTTAGGTTGGTAGGCAGAATTCGAATTAATAATGTGGTGTTCTACCAGCTAAGTTATGAAACCTTACGGCTTTCCATGTCATCATTTCCATTGCAATTTCTAACCGTTTAGCTGTTGTATGATTGAAAGATACGTCGCTGTCAGTTTATCATTATACTGGCTACTCTTTTGAGTCTTCTGTCATTTCTAATATTACTGGATTCAAAGCAGAGTAACAGAGCGTTAATTGATGTTGAGACTATCTGAGATAACCGTTTATTGGCAGACTTTTATAAACATGGTAAAAACTAGATGGGTAGCTGGTTTGATAACATGTGGGCAACAACGCATCGTTCATTGACACGGCGATATCCTTGTGAAATGATGCAATGGTTGACGACTAAATTTTGTAGCTCAGTTGACAGCTCACCAGACTATTAATTCATAGTTTCCAGGCTTGTATCCTATGGCAACGCAGGTTTTCATTTCAACATTCAATTATCAGCGTCTGAAGTTAAAAGCAAGTTAGATTTTGTTGGCAAAAATATTTCGCTGAATAAATATCAAAATTAGATCATAGATTTTTGGATCCCATTTATGCATTTCATATTTTTAAGACTATTTTGAATTGATGAAGGTAAGCTAATTGGCACCATTTAAGTCCAAATCGTAGCGAGTTCTGGTGTTGCAGTATGAACTGTAGCAGTCACATACAAAGAAGACTACATGAGGAAAAGAAACCCACATCACAATTTCTATACAAATAGCAGACAATCAAACTTCAAGAACTGCAAACAAGTTAATTAATTCAATTTGAACCTTCTCATTGATTGATTGGACTTAGGTGTTCGGCTCCTGTTGACATGTCGGCTGCTGGTACGGATGCTTCGACGATGTCTGAAGATTTAACCTGAAGTAATTTGGTTGGTGGTGACTATCCTGGGAATCGAGGGTACACATTTCGTCGTATTTAGAACTCGCCATGTAGATATACTTGCATTCCCAGTGAGTGATACGACCCCCACTGAAGCTGAAACCTAGTATCCATCGTTTCAAACGCCGAAGCGTCATCCATTGGACGACGAGAATCACCTCTTGTAAACAGAGGTCGAACACTTGAGTCCGGTCAATCAGCGTGAAGGTTTAAGTAGAATTAAATAATAACTGACACTTGTTGCACAAGAGTTGGGTCTCGTGGCCCAAGTGGTTTGGTGGATATCTCTTTAGCTTATGAAACGATGCATACTGGGTTCGAGCCCCACTGGGGTCACCTTCGCTCGTTTTGGTGTTTGAAACTATCGGCGCTGGGTTCGAGTCCCGATGAGAACATCATCACGCACTGGGGAATGCACTTACGTCCAGATGACGAGTTCCAAATACGACAAAATGTGCAACCTTGTTTCCACTGTTAGTCATCATCTACCAAATTACCTAGCACTGAATAGGTAAAAAGTAAAGATCGATTTGATTGAGTGAGGTACAGTAAATTTATTCTTTGTTGGTTCACTACTGAATCTCTTTTGTATAAACAAGACATCCCTTCAAACAAGTAATATTCCATAGAATTCTGTGTGTCATAAGATCTGAGCAGAAATTGGAAATATGAGCTTATTCCTGTGATTAATATATTGAATTTCCATCATTGTTTAGAAAAAAGATTAATGGATTTAGATACATTCGATTAAACTAGAATTGGTGACAGAAAAGCTGTAGTTACATTTCGAAAAGTCATTTCTTCTTTGTCTTTAACTGTTGATTAGTTTGACACCAGTGAAATAGATCTTTTCAGAGTATAATATAATATAGGTTAGTTTTCAAAAGAGTAATAGTATCCCCTTAATACATCAGCATCCTATATAAGCTAATGTTTAGAGGATAACTTTTAATTTTTAAGAGATGTTCATATCGCTATAGATAATTTGGCCTTTTAGCTGAAAGGTTAGTTTTTGCCTGGTTGTTCTTCTCTTGCATTAATTTTCTTTCTTCTCCTCAAAAACCATGATAGATATCTGAGGTGTGAATAATTTGTCAAGTTCAGAAGTAAAACATAGAAGAAAAGCAATAAGAGGACGTAATTTGTCCGTTAGGGCCCCCTTTAGCAGATATTTATATGTCGCACATTGAGAATTTATCAGAGGATTTAATCGAAAGTGTGCCACTTTATAGAAGGTATGTAGATGATATCGTAGTCATCAGTGATAAGCCTTGTTCTGCCACCTCAATTTTAAATCGAATGAATGAAGTTCAGAATAGCATATCACTTACATCTGTAGAAGAGGAAGATAATTGTTTATCTTTCCTAGACATATTGCTCAGTCGATGGCTTGACGGGTCAATAAAAAGACCTATTTATAGAAAACCCAACTGGACAGGACAGTATTTTAATTACCACAGTTTCTGTCCTGTTCGGTACAAAAGAGCCTTAGAGAGTGAGGTGCCTCTTCAGCAGAATCCAACGAATATGCACTGAAGACACACTTGATGAAGAAGAAAGGAAGTTGACACAGACTCTGGTTGATAACAATTATCCAGACAAGTTCATCAAGAGATATAAAGTAGTTAGAACACCAAGACCCACTCTCCAACTCCCCCCTAAGAAAGACGTGTACATCAAGCTACTCTATATGGGGCATCACAGCAGCTTGATAACTAGACAAAGACTGAACGCTGCTGTTAAAAAGACTTTTTATGAAGCTAATATCATAATAATAGAGAATGTAAAGCCATTATATCTATTTAAGCCCTTTGACCATATGAAAAATGACATCACATCCCACTGTATTTACCAATTTGAATGTACGTGTGGACACACATACATAGGGAGGACTCATCGATCTCCACAAGTAAGGGCTGGCTTCAGAGCATATTCCAAAATGGCTTCAGAAACAAATGGAATCTTCAGAACCCATTAATGATGAGAACAGGAGACCTAGCTCTTCTAATGAGAAACATATTATAGAGACGGGTCATAAAATTGATATTAATAGATCCTTTAAACTTATCTATAAAACGTGTTTGGGGCGTATCTTAAAGTTTGTGGAAGCCCTAGCAATTAGAAAGTTCAAGCCACCTTTATGTGTTCAAAAACAATTCGTCATCACATTAAACCTTCTTTGGTAAATTTTGTTTTGATACCATAGCAGATGTACTATTACCTCTGTTATGCGGTTTAGTGGTGTTCATTGTTATTTTGACCTTGAATATGTCCTTTTAACTTGACCTAAGTCTATTTTCTCATCTCTTACCTCTTTATTAATTTCCTATATATTCCTGTGATAAGTCCGTGTGTGATCAGGTCGCTCAAAATGTGTTGGGCAAATACATTACACGATTCAGACAAATTACGTCTTCTTATTGCTTTATCTAAATTCATAAAGGTAACTAATTGCTTTAAATCGAAGAAAAGGTTAAATTTTCATTTGGGATAAATAATAAACTATTATACTATTAAAGGTAATTAAATACATATATCACAATGATTTGTGCAGCTGAATTTTTTGTTCAGCATAAATTTCACATCTGGATCTTGAAGTTGGACTGTGGAATAAAATATAGGATTCAAAGTGAAATTATGTGGTATAGTTTGTAAGAAAATTATACAGTCATTGATGGCTTTATCAATATGAATTCATGAGCAGATTCTTGAGTAAGTAAGAAGGCAAACTCGTGAAACTGTTCATTTAAAAATAGAAATATTACGTATGTTACACACACACACACACACACATCGTCAATGAGTTTTATTTTCGTTTCTACAATTTGTAATTTGCACACGGAAATATTTCCTGATTTCGTTTAGCTACTTATGAGTAGCCAGAGCTGCTTTAGCAAATAAAAAGGAAAATGCGATTTTGGGAATTTGAACAGAATATGGAAACAAATTACTTGATAAAAGGAAAAAAGAGAAACTGTATATATATATATTGAGAAAATTCCACTTGATTTTATTTAAGAAAGACATTTGGCAAAGCTATTCACCTTGATTTATGACTCAGAGCTACTGGTTATTAAGAAATAATTCTGTTCATCAGATAGACTCCTATGCTTAGGAAACACGACAACCATAATAACTGAAGGTGTAAAAGGGAATATCTGCTCGCCGAATTGCACAGATCATAATAGCAACAGTCGAATTTACTAACAAGTCCCGGGGTTAACTCATTATATTTACTTTTCGTTGGACACTTTGGTAGACATCCACGACCTTCCATTTCATAACCATGATATGTAGAATACGCAGTCTGTAAAATAAGAAAGTTGATTTATATAATATGCAATAACATGTATGTTGAAAGACATGATTTTATGCATATTCATGAACAGATCAAAAGGAATGTAAAACTTAGATAAACAGATGACACTAAAGTCTTAATTAAATACCAATATCTAGATACAATTTGCAATGTAGAGTATTTACATTAGTTAATAAACTATATAAAATTGTATGAAATTACACAATACCGATTTACTGAGATGAGTAGTTTTATACCACTTACATCAACAAGTAGTGGTTACTAGCCTGGTCGAAGTGATCTGACCATCTGATGGACGTTTCGTTGGTTTCGAGTCGAGGTCATCAGTGATGTACCCAAAATGACTCAGCTCAGAGAACCGAATCTGTTTTCAAGGGAAACTTTGGTGAAATTCAGCCTCGAAATGTGTAAATTGCAAATTAATTTACAAACTGAGAATTTGATCTATAACTGTAGTCTAATTTATCTGTTAGTGGTTGAAACAGTTAACAGCTTAAGAGACGATCTTTGCTGTTGGGAAGAACCAGAGTAAAACCTTCAGCTGCCTTGATAACAATGTATACAACTACCTTTATTTATGACACACTTGTCATGTTTAATCGTATTATTAATTTTTTTAAATTTATTAAATTCTTGTCTTCTAAGGTTGATTAAACATTATGCACATCGGTTTAAATTCATGTCTTTATTCCATATTACTTTTATATTCACGATAGATTGATTGTTGATAAATTTGTCGACAAAAGGTTCCTACAACCATAATGTTATATATATATATATATATTTCAGACATGTTCACTTTAATCATAATGTAGGTTGCTAGATATCTTGACTTGTATATATAAAAATATCATTTAGGCTGCAGGTTAACCTTGTTGGTGGGTGAAAGTAAGCACTGCCTATCGATTCTAACGTACTGAGGTCATTTCATAGTGTATTGCGATGTCAAGTCTTTAAGCTTGGTAGCCATATTTCAAACTATTTTGGTAGAATTCATCAGCTAGCACTGAGGGCTAAGCAACATAATAACAGTTATTCCCTAATGACCAATCACATATTTACATCTGGTTTTTTAATTAATTCATTGTATTGAAAAATGGTGTATTCATACAGATTTATCGATCAATTTTTAAGCGTTGACTTCATTGTAAAGTGGACATCCAGTATACCTCAGAGATGAAATGTCGTGTTTACTGGTGATCTTGACTGTGATTAGTTGCCCGTGGAAATTTGTTTTTCTAGGGTTATGTTCTCTTGAAAAGATCCATATAAATGATGGCTGAATATATTTATTATTTCTTTCGTTCAGTCTCAAGTGAAAAATACAGTATATCAACAACATAGCAGGTTGAATATAATCCTAAGGAAATATTTAGGGCATACTAATTATTTTCTATAGTTTGGTTTGTAAGGATTAATTTTTTTTCTACGAGTTTGATCACGAAGTGATATCAGTTAGATAACCATTGAAAACCCACCAGGGAGTACTGGACAGCTGTTAGAATTCATGAGCCATTGAATCTGGTCCCAGTGGCTGAATCGTATACGACCTTGTCTTATAACTGGAATGTCCTGGGTTGGAACCCTGACAGTGGGTGCGTACTGCCGATGATTCCCAAAGAGCTAGGACGTAACAGCAGCTGTCCAGTACTCCCTAGTGGGTTTTCAATGGTTCTCTAACTGATATCAATCCGTGATCAACTCGTAAAAACTAAACTAATTATTATCAATATCATCAGAAAAACCGGATATTTTGTTCGTAGAGAGTTCTGAAGGCTCACATTACAATAAAGGGAGTACTGAAGATGTAATCTAGAAGGACAGTGAATGCTTCATTATTCAACCATTCAACTGAATGGACATAACATGACCAAATATTGTAAGAACTGAGATGGCATGCCTGTTGTCATGTAATTAGTGTATTGAATCTATGCTTAGTCCTATTATATTAATGAATATAAATCCTGAGTGCAAACTTAATAAGTGTTAGTAATTCACAGGCAAAACATGGAAAGTATACTGACTGACTCAGTATTGAACACATCCAAAAATATCACTGTTGTTTAAACAGTCATGATAAACACCTCTGTCCAGACAGACCTTGTGATCACGAAGTACTTTTCCGAAGTCAAGTAGTTTTCTAATTCTCAACATAGGCAAGAATCATTTAAGCATCGATTAATCGATCAAGGCACGCTGAAAGTCTATGCTAATAGTTTCTTTGAAGGTTCAGAGGTATGCAAAAGTAAATTTCTTCGAAGCTACAAGGAGAACTCAGTATTTAACTCCAAATGAGTTCGGCAGTTAAAAGGTAAAGCTAAAAAGCAAGGTACTACGTCTGAATATTACTGATTTTATTGTGAATGAAGATAACAGATTGGTGTTTGTCAATTAATTGTTTTAATTGGTTGAAGGATTTCATCATGAGCTGACACCAGTTAGAGAACCATTAGAAAACCTGCAGGTAGTACTGGACAGCCGTTTCATCCTAGTTTGGGAATCATTGGCAGTACGCACCCACTATCAGGGTTCGAGCCCAGGACCTTCTGGTTACAAGGCTAGCGAGCTCGTAGACCATTAAGCCACCGGGACCCAATCGAATGGCCCATGAATTCGAACTTCTGCCAGTTCATGAAATAGCACGATCAAACTAGGACGAAGTAGCTGTTCAGTACTCGCTGTTGGTTTTCCAATGGTTAACTGTTTTAAGTTGCGACATAAACATTATGTCAAACAGTGCTGAGTTGTGTTCATGTCCACTAGTGATGGAAATCATTTTTAAGTGTTTTTGAGATTTTTTCCCTTCACATTCCCAGTGGAGCATAGGGCTTCAGACTAGTGGCTTGAAGTTTCTGTAGCAGTGTTTAATTATACAGGATGAGGTTGTTAGCTTCATGCACAACCTTTCCTCTTTACCAGCATTATTTCTGGCTTAGCGAGGTAAAGGAATGAATCGGCCGGGAATCGAACCCCGGACCATGTGCATGGTCGGCTAGCGTCCTAACCGCTGTGCCATCGACGCTGTTTTTGAGATTACTAAATTTTCAATTCATTTTCAACAATAGATTTGAACTTGAAAAACCCAATCCTGTGATCCAGATATTTTATCATAAAGTGTGTTCAGATTATGGCTACTAATACTCATTTCTAGAACAAGTTGGATATATTTTTATATCATGGGATTGTAAGTCGCTTATACCCATCAATAAATTAGTACCGTTTCCCAACGAACATGATCTTAAACACTAAAATAGTGAAAATTCGGCTACTCACTTTATCAATAATACTAATTTTAATAGTAATAAGGATATTTTAAATGACTCACAATGCAAACTCCGCAGTTATCTACAATTTCATCTTCTCTAATCTTGAATAACTTTTTGTATTTCTCTTCACAGGGTAAACATGTTCGACATTTGATAGCAGAAGCTAAAGAGAATAACAAGTGAAAAAAGTTGAAACAAACAAGCATTATACAGCCTTATTGAATCATATGACATAAGGCGACATGGGTAGAACACTTTTTTCTTACACTGGCAAGTACTGAACCTACAAATTTAAATACATCAGATGACAGTTTTTTTCTGACTGTATGGGGATTAGAATTCTGAGCAGAAAGCAACTTTGATGATATAAGTCAGTACTTAGAAAATAAAAAAAAACTAATAAGATTTGGCAACTGTTATTATTTGTATAATTATTCTTTTGGGTGCCGAGTACAGAATGCGGCTGCAACAGAACAGCTCCATTTTACCCTGCTGTCTGCAGTCCTCCTCAGATGGCCCCACTATTGAACATAATCTCTCATCTTCTAATCACATTATCTCCTCCAAGTCATTCTCGATGCCCTACTCATCGTTTCCCATTCTGCTTCCACTTAGGCGACGGCCTGGAGTGTAATGTAATTCAACGGTTTCCTCAGAATGTGCCCCATCCATCTCCATTTTATTTTACATATTCGCTCGGCAACTCGTTCTACATTGGTTTGTTCCCATAGTCGTTTACCGCTAATTTTTTCCTGGAAAGCCGGCCATCTGATCTTCAGTCGGGAGCAAGAGAAGGCAGCTGTTGATAGAAGTCTCCAGCCTGTTCAATATGCCTTTCGTCACAAGCCAAGCATCTCACCCACATAGGAGAAGTGACTTGGCGATGGTGTTGAAAACGCAAATCTCGTTCTTTATACTGACTGAGTGCAAAAGTTTTCCAGAATGACTGAAGAGTAACAAAAATTTGCTTTGCCTTTCCACTTCTGGTTTTGACATCCTCATCCCTACCAACTGCCTGTAGTCGAAACGATGCCATCTAGCCGGATAAGTAGAGGAAGTGACTATTTTCAAATTTTGTTTCGTTGATATTGATTGATGCTTGTTATTGTTATATGGTTGACTTCATCACCTCCGTCTCCTCTATGTTCACTTGAAGTCAAGTATTTACTGCCAGACTCTTCTGTCAGTCTGTTAGCTTCCGTCTGCCTCTAAGTCTCCGAGTTTGTATGAAATTAGATATAAATCGTCAGCTAAATCCACATCTTCTAGAGTCTTCTGATTGTTGGTCCAACGTATTCCTGTTTTCTCACTCTCTTAAGTTCAGCAACTGTGAAGGTGTAAAATGACCTCTAGTTTCGACGCTATAAATTACAACAGAGAATATCAAAAGCTAATGGGTTAAGTTTATTCCTTGGAATAGCATACAGTCATTAAAATAAACTTTTGTTATCGTCTTGTTCTCTGAGTGAGTTTGGTAGTTTGACTGAGACGCTTTCATTGTCTCTATAGATAACGTCTTCATTGCCAACTTTCATGTGGAGTGATATCATCGAATGCTTAAATGATTGATACAACTGACTCTTCTAATAATCCTCACTGTAAATGGATGCTTTCAGAAAGAGGTTACAGTGATAGCATAAGAAATCCACCTGAGCTACAAATATTCTCCATTATTTGAAAAAAAAACTTTTTAAACAAGAAGTGAATAATATGTAGTGTAAACAAGGATCTATAAAGTCGAGTGCTGCTAATGTCTTTATTTTGAATGCTATATCCCTAAAGGTGGTGATTTATTTGGTTATTGAAAATTGTTAGATGAAGGACATCAAGAATTCTTAGACATTGAGTTCTCCACTAATGCTAGAACATTCTGAGCGGTTGAACATATTATACTTCTTGATTTGACACTAGTAACTAGTGTGATGTGTCTAGTCCTCTCATTGGTGCAGACTGAATTCAATCAAAATATCTACTACAGTCCTACAGGAGGTCAATTGCGAGCCCGGAAAGCTCAGTAGTAATGTCTCTGACTGCAGTACTCACTGGGTGACGCGGGTTCGAATCTCAGAAGAGACATGAGTCCCTTCAAGGTTGCAGATACGCCTTACTGACGAGTGCTGCTAGCTAGCACGGAACATAGGTCCAATGCTTCCTGCTGATTGTCTCCAACCAACTAATATTATACTTCTATTATAAATTTCAATGATTCTAACTTCTAGGTTTAATGGTGTATACATTCTCTTTTAATAAAAGAAGAAAAGAAACTTACCCTTAATGAATTCTAACAAGTACAAAACTTTAGTTCAGGATTCACTTCTGACTTAACTGTGCGGATTCACTACATCCTTGCATCTTTTGGTTTCTCAGACTGTGTTCAGTTCCATATTAATTTATTTGTTGGATACATCACACAGCCTTTTTTCGTTTTTTATTCATCCCAGGTGATGATAGTGAAACATAAGGCTTTGAGCTTTAAGCTCTGAAGTTTTATTAACGGTCTTGTCATTTTTATAGAGTTGGGTTGCTAACCTGCTTCCAAGATTACTACATGCTAGCTGAGGTTTAGGAGTGTGTCATGTGGGAATCCGCCCCAGGTGGCAAGCATCCCACCACTGAATCACTGAGGCACATATACGCAGTGAAACGATATTATTTACTTGATAAAGAATAAATGCTAAAATTCATTATAAAATTGTTATCAGGAGTTGGTTTGTAGGGATTAAATTTGTTTTTACGAGTTTGGCCTCGGATTGATATCAATTAGAGAACCATTGAAAACCCAACAGGGAGTACTGGACAGCCGTTTCATCCTAGCTTTTTGGGAATCATCGGCAGTATGCACCCATTGCCAGGGTTCGATCCCGGGACCTTCCAGTTACAAGGCAAGCTCGTATACCATTCAGCCACTGGGGCGCGATTCAATGACCAGCCCATGAATTCTAGCTTTTACCAATTCATGATTTACCGCGACCACCAACCAGTGTCATCGGCGGGAAATCCATGAATAAAAATTATTAAAATAAAATTATTAACTATTCATCATCTTTGACTAAAAAGAAATCAGATTTAAGTTTCGGTTACGTAATGAATTCATCCTTTGTGTTCATCTATACAATTCTTTTTCAGATCATGGAAAACACCCATATAGACATTAGAAAGAAGAAAACACGAGGTGTTTTCCACGACCTGAAAAAGAGCAAGGACCCTTCGACAGGGAAGGAACTCAACGGGTTTCTACGTTACTCTGCCAAACTTGCCGAAGTAAATGCAAAATTGGAATTTTTCAAGAGCTCTATTAACAACCGTGAATATCCAAAATGGTTCTGGAAAGTGCTGCGTAGACATCCTATATATCCTAATTCAAAAACTGTTCAACGTCACCCTAGAAACGTCATCGATTCTATAAATTCACGTATATTCGAATTGCAAAGAAACATATCACAGAGATCTTCCGCTCTTTGTGAATTATCATCATGCGAGAGACAATCGTGTAATTAATACTTTACACTGGTGCAGAACAGAAGAGCGGAAAATGTTAAATCAGATTTGAACAAAAGCCTGAAACCCGCCGTGGAAGTCCAGAATAAGTTCCCTTGCGATTCTAATTAATTTGTTTTCAATCACTCTTCAGTTCCTTGATCAACGGTACAAGTAAAAGATCTATCTCTTGGACTAAAATTCTGTGACGTTAATCTTAACAGCAACAGACTTCATACGTACATTCATTTCGAGAATCTCATAAGCCAAATTCATGATATTACTTCAGTTTCCAATGCAGAATTCCTACACTTTGCTGAATTTCATGTTCTCTTCTTTCTGACATCTGCACGATTACCATTTGTGTTTCACTGTTGAGGAATTGAAACTTAAATTTTATTTTCAAATGTTTTACAAATTTCACTATCAATTCAAACAAAATTAAGTGAATGATGGAAAGATTAAAACCAACGAATTTGTATAAAATGAAAGGAAGTGAAAAATGTTAGCAAATTCATTTCAAATAATAATAATAATGAATATGGTAGACCAAAATAAAACACGGGGTGGGGGGAATGTTATTTAGAAAGAAAATGTGCTTTTATTAGTTCAAATTTTTTGTCTATTTTTGTCGAAATGAAATTTTATTCGAACAATAGAATTTTCCGTTGGTTTAGTTCATTTAGCCTTCTGTTTACGTTAAAACCTTTAGTGTTTGCATGTAACAGACTTAATTCCAGTATCTTGATAATGACACGTTTCTACTTCCAATGGAAATGACATTCATTAAAACAGAAATTATTGTAAATTCCTGTTTAAATTATCGTGCATTATTGACTGCATGAAGTGTGGTTGCCCTGTGTGAAACTAAAAGTGAACGAAATATGTGAAGTAATTTGTAGACAGATCTGCATGTCTGTACACTTGTCAATGATTCTTATTTATTCTCTGAGGCTTGATGACAGTGTAACGGTAGACGATGAGAGACTTGATAATGGAATAGTTATTTGGAATTTGATATCTTAATGTAGGGAAATTATGAACACCTCATATGAAAATCGTCATTTGGACGGATCTTTCGAATTTTGGTACTTCTGTCCTTCGTATTGTGTTTCTTTGTTTTCTTTTCGTTTCACCCATGGTTTGCCACAGCGCTGCTTCATTTGCTGTCTTTGAAGTCAAATCTTTCTTCAAGTATTGGTTTTGTAGGAATTTTTGTTTGATTGTATGGGGGATTTCATAATGAGCTGACATCAGTTCTACTGGTTCTAGTGGGAAGCCGTGTTCAGTAGGGTACAGCAAGCAGGTTGAAGATGAGGCAGTAACTCATCGAAGAAGATATTGCGGAATGGTCGTGCTATGTCGTGAATTGGCAGAATTTCGAATTCAAGGATCATTGGGTCGGGTCCCAGTGGCTCAATGGTCTATGAGCTCCCCTTGTAACCGGAAGGTCCTGGATTCGAAACTTGGTGGGTGCGTACTGCCGAATACTCCCAAACTAGGACGAAACAGATGTCTAGTACACCTAGCTGGTTGTCCAGTGGTTGGTTCTCTAATTGATGTCAGCTCATGATGAAATCCTCCATGCAATCAAATGTTTCTCTCCGCTATTTGATATTTTTGTGCTGATGAACGTCTTTCTATATGCTACTGATAAATCTTGCAAGTAGCACACGCCACAATACT